ATATATATAGAATCCATGCCACAAAAATATTCAATAATATTATTTTTGACATGCTGGATCTATCTATGAGTCTAACATACGAATGAAAAAACTAACGATAATATCTTCTTTACGACATTTGCCTCTTCACGATAAACTAGATCGATAACGACTTTCGCAACGGTGGACGTATCAAGTGCATTGCAAGACGCGGCGCGGCATTTTTCCCTCCCGATTTAGGCACGATGTGATAAATAAGAACCACTGGTGGGAACCACGGGAACTCTGTATAGGGCTCGGTAAGATAATATCTCTACACGATATGCGACACCGGGCACTTGCGTGCATTAAAGGGAGAAGACGTTACGTTAGGTAACAAACCCGTTACTCTATTTCAATATACCGCAGAAGGTGCGGTCGTATCTTTCTTTGGATTCGATAAAACATCTCTCCACGACGCTGCATTCTCGATACGCACGAGTACCTAATATCAAATATCTCGAAATAGAATTACGGTTACGGAGCGAGATTAACGCGCCGGACAATTTGCCTTCGATAGATACATATAAATATCTACCTGTTCGGGAGATATATAAACATAATATCTGATCACTCAGAAATTGTGAGATAATGTAATTAATTAATTTCGATTTCGAAGAAAAATCATCCTTCCGTTCGTTAAAGAATATAGTTTATATTCAGATTTTCTGACGTGTTGTGGTGTTAACGCATTACATCATCCCCCTTGTGTACTCATGCACCCTTTGCTTTGCGCCGGCACCCATAGGAATGCGAACGCAGCCGCGTTGACAAATCGATAAGAACGTTTCAAGATGTTCCTCTGCAGTTATAAGATTAGTCTATCTTAATCGATCGTGTATTTTGCAATTAGCAGTGAAATTTATCTCTTTCTTATTAAAAAAAAATAAATATTTTTAATTTAATTAAAATGGTAAATAATGCGAAATTAATAACACGTATATTTAATAATATAATTTATCATCTAAATATTTTGGCTGCTTCTTTTAAAGCAATCTGACAAAATAATGAAGATTATTTTCAGAATATTTTAATTCGCAGTTATTGGTGGATCAAGTGACTATTTTGGAAACGATGACGCCATTGGACTTCATGGCGTTTAGAAACTTACTATGCCCGGCTTCGGGTTTCCAATCGCTGCAATTCCGTCTGTTGGAGAACAAACTGGGCGTGAAACAGGAACTCAGGGTCAAATATAGTTACCTAAAGATCTTCGGGAGAGATCCTGAAGCTATCGAAGCGATCAAGCGGTCAGAGGAAGAACCGAGTCTCAATACTCTGGTTCAGAGCTGGTTGAGCAGAACGCCAGGACTCGAGGCACACGATTTCGATTTCTGGGGAAAGTACAAGCGATCGGTGGAGAAAATGTTGGCCGAGCAAGAAGAAGCTATACATGCAAGTATTAAAAATCCAATCTCGCAATTGATATCATTACATTAAATTACATTATCTGATATTTGTATCTCTTCAACGATTTCAAAATATTTTAGAAATTCGAAATATTGGCAAAACAATTAAAAAAAATAGAAAATTTAATTTAAAGCATAATTAAGATTAAAAATTAAAAGTTACATAATTGAGAGCAAAGAAACGCAAAAAGAAATCTGTCTAAATATACACAATATTTTCTTTTATTTTTGATTTTCACAAACTATTCATAATTTATTAAACCTCAGAAATCATCAAAAGACTCCGTCATCAAAGATCACCTGCTGATTAATGTGCGCTCGCGGCAAGCAGTTTTCGATACCATTTTCAACGAGTCACTTCACAATGCTCTTGTGTCACGCGGGGAACGTAGATTTTCGCATGCCGCCCTTCAAGGAGCAGTGATGATCACTCTATATCGAGATGAACCACGATTTAGCCAGCCGCATCAGATCCTCACGGCATTAATGGACATCGACTCTTTAATTACCAAATGGAGGTGTAAGAAAAAAAAAAGCTTATTGATATCTCATTATTTATGTTCTTATAATGTAATCTATATTTTACTGAAATTTTAGTTCTCTTAATTTTAAAATTTACAAGAACAACCAATGTACGTACTATCATCGGTTATATTGTATAAATAAGTTACTTATCATCATTCTTAAATTGTTGATAACATAATACTCATTTGCGTCATATTCTATTTTTATATTCTATTTTTTTTTTAAATAATGTTGTTGTTCTTCTTTCTAGATAATCATGTTATCATGGTACAAAGAATGATCGGGTCTCAACAATTGGGCACTGGTGGTTCCTCCGGCTATCAATATTTGAAGTCCACATTAAGGTATTTATTTATTTATTTAAATTAATGTCAGAATTTAATATGAAATAATTTAATTATTGAGAAAATACTTTAATATTGTGGTGAAAACAATCGCGAATGATGCTTCTTATTTATCGTGAATTTTTATTATCAATATAAATGTTATGATAATATAATGTCATAAGTCATTTATTGTTGATAATTTTATTTTTAAAAATCATTATTCATATTCAACTTTTGTAATAATCATTTGTTATTTTGCGTTTTGTGAAACGTCAATAAGCATTTGCCAATATATTTTTCCAAATACACGTATTTTTAACACGTATTTTAATGAATATTTTGTTTGTTTCATGTCGCGAATAGCGATAGGTACAAAGTCTTCTTGGATTTGTTCAATCTGTCAACCTTCCTAATACCACGTTTTATGATTCCACCGTTAACGAAGCAAATGAAGACAAAATTATCAATCGCCACATACGATTGGAACTCGGATGAAGATCAAAATGAATCTGCGAATTCTTTAAGAAGTTCATAAATCAGTGTATGTACGAATTTCATAAAACTATCAAGTTTTAATTCTTTCAACATCATATAGACTATACACTCATTTTGAAACATAATATAAAACATAATAATTAAATATTAGACGAATTATTGAAAATATTCTCTTTAGGTTTTTAACATTGGAATTAGATCTTTAAAAGAATTTAGTACATTAGGTAGGAGTTTCAAAATAGTGTTAAAAGTAAAAATTGAAATTTCTAATATTTAACTAATATTTATAAAAAAATTACTAATTATTGATGAAACAATGCAAAATCATTGAAGGAAAAGTTAATATTTCGAGCGTTCGCAATATCGATCGAAATAAATTTATATGGCTGTGTATAATTTGGATAGTTGCAGATATCATGTCACTTTCCGAATAATTAACTTTTCCTCTTAGATCTTATCTTTTATTAAAGTCGTTATATATTTAATAGATTTCTGACAAATAATCAATATAAGAATATTACTATTATGTTTAATAAAGAATTTTATTAAGTCACAATTTTTATAACAGACTTTGGATTATATCATGTTTTTAGAAAATATCTATATAATGTAATCTATATAATGTAATCTATATAATGTAATCTATATGTTTACTAAATTTTTAATTTCTAGATTTAAAAATTGATTAAAAATTGAATTATGATATATATTTAAAATACTGTAAATGACTAAATAACGTCGAGCGATGAAACTTGGTTGGCTATACCTGCAAACACACGATAAAATGTTCGTTTATCTATTAAAAAAGTAATAAGCACTCGATTTAATTCGCTGCTTATTCATGGCTTACCGCATAAATTTTTACCGACCGCAATATAAATGTAACCTTTGTCGCCAAAAGACGATCCCCACGAATTTTTAATGATATAATGCGGTATACTCGCTCTCATATCGTATCCCACTATCTGTATCGCATGATTCAAGCTGTTGAACGAACCATCGCAGTGATACTGTATTACGCCACCTAAATAATTCTGCCAAGATATAGCATTTACAGCGGCCGCCACAGGTCCGTGAGTAAGCAGCGTTAAAAGTTCAGTTTCTGCATCTATAAAACTGAAACAAACTCGATTATTACCGGAGAATGTTGGACAGTGCAGCATTTAACCGAAACATGTAATTTTTATTAATGTCATTTTTATTAATGACATAACTGACAACTTGAGGTAATCGATATTACAGCAAAAAAAATATATATTATGTACGGTATTTATTTCATATAAGAGAATGTACCTGTCGCATGTAAAATCCGTTATTTTAATTCCCGATGTCTTCGCAGTAATTCTAAAATAACATTAAATCATTCTATTGTTGCGTTAAAAGTACATGTGTATGTCAAGTTTCGTCATATTTTTGTACTTCACTAAACAAATACTCTCGCCATCTGTTTACGATTAGCGACCTACTTAGACAATCGACACAAATCGGTCCGCCGTGTGAGAGGATAATCGTTCTCAGATATGATTTTTGTCTTTGACGCCAACAGCCACGAGAGTAAACTGCATATGTCACCGCCCTGGCATCCGTAATTGCCTGGCATACAATCGATCATCTACATAATGTCAGAAGATAAATTATCAGCCGACGAATCAATATATCCGAACGTCTAAAAAAGTTTTGAGATTTTCAAGAGATCGTCTCTACTTCTTGAAACGTTACTTTCTCTTTGGGCGTATTCAAAGACGCCTCCTGTGTTTTAAATCTCAAAACTTTTCTACTTCTTCTCTACATGCGAGCGTTCAAAGATTGCGTTGAAAGATCGAGAGAGAGCTGCTTGAATAAGAACCCAACTGCTTTAAAATGTCTATCAATGCGTGGCCAATATTTATTCGACGATGACGCGTGAAAGCATTTCCGTCAAATTTGTATTTTCCACGGGACACTTCTTCGAGCGGTTCTCTCGCTTGCAAACAGAAAAGCGTGTCAGGAATATAACGACCTACTTCCTGCACGCTAAAGGAATATAAAGTTCCATTTCTGATGGCGTACATCGATTCGGCCACACCGATAGTGCTGAAGGCCCAACACGCACCGCAACTTTCTTGGTTCACAACTGGTCCTACAACCCCTCGATCCCGCCAATCAAACTTAGAGGGTATACCAATCATCCTTTTCATGCGATCAACCGAATTCACAGAATGTTGATGATAATATGACGCTGTAGTATGTTTTTGCCCTAATGGAGAAAAATGTTACAATTATATTAGCCAAGTATCAGTTAGATTATAACGCTAAGTTACAATATATTTGTTATAAACTATTTTGCAAAGCGTTCATAATTTTTAAATAATACAGCAAGCTTTAATAAGCCTTAAAAATTTCTAAGATTTAAACATCTTTTATCATATTATAAATATCAAAATATAAAATTAAATCTATTATAAAATAAAATAATTAAAACAAATATATCGCGTATTGAAGTTAAAACGGAGTTACTGACAATATTAATCTTATTATTCCATTCCTGTGATTGCTCAAAACTATTGCTTCAAAACTATTTTTAATTCATTTAAAAGTTAATTTTATTTTTCTAAAATAAAATAAGCTCACCTCGTAAAGATAAGTCAGGAAGCAATGTTTGTTGCAAGAATTCATCTTCGGATAAATCTGAGAATTCTGTTAGTCCATAATATGCACTTTCTTGGGATGATCGTAAACCATTCAATCTTTCGATATGTCGCAACGATTTCTGTAATTTATTTTGTTTTTTATTTCTAATATTGCGTAAAAAAAGTTGCCTAGTTTCTTAATTCGTGTTATATATGTATTTTTTTTATTTTTATTGTTACCTTGTTTTAATGTAGTTAATTATATTGAAAATATGTATATGTTTCAAAAAGTTTCAATATCAAATAACAAACAAATAAGTGATATGAAAACCAACACCCAGTAAAATAAATCTAAAATTAAACAAATTTAACGCTTTTATCATCACTCTTCCTCGGTTCATACCGATAGAGCTAATTAATACATTACATTGAGTCACAACATGAATGTGAATGACTCATAACATGCACATGTGCACATATTTGTGTACATTTTTAATGAAAACAAAATTTAAAATCTTTTGACAATATTTGCATTGGAATTAACATGTTAATGTACGAGAACAAATGATAAATCTAAATCTCAAATCTGTGATTTCATCATATCTGATTTCATATCATTAATTTTAATCTAGATTTTATTTATTCGTTTATTTACTTGTTTTTTCTAATTCTTAGACTTAAAATAGATAAAAAGGAAGTTAAGTCAAAATTAAAAATTAATCTATTGTGGATAATAAATTTATTACGTCTCTATGTCTTTCATTATAATTCTTGTATCAGTTTGGCGACACAAATTGATTCGTCATTTACCTGAAAATTATCGAATCGTTCCTTATATTCTGTAGAATCATTTCTGTACGTTTTGTTATATCGGGCAATGTAATCTGCGAACAATTTCGCATCTTCGACAGTTTTATCAGGCCCGACTTTGATCGGTACGATGAAGAAGCAAAGACTTACGACCAGCACTATCACTGCCACTGTCCGCCACTCCATGTCTCGTGCACGAGACGACGCAGAATGCGCGTTCGCAATGTGCGTCCGCGTCGTCAAATACGTCAGACGGCACAGATAAGTAGACAACGACATGTGGTTTGACGAGTATAGCCAATAATTAAAAACCAAGTGCATTGCGTTTGAACTTGGCTTGTCAGATCAAAAATGGCGGTAACATTTAATATTCTTACAGACTTCCCTATAGCGTTTCAATTTGTTCTTCAAGAGAATTATTTGTCGTCTCACCACGCTATTTTATATTGTCTTGAGACATTAAATTGTATCAAAAAATTTTAAAAGTATTTATGATATAAATCATATATTTCACACACAATATAATTTCTTCTAAACGGTTCTTATTTCAATAACTTAAACATATTCGATATAAAAATATCTTATAAAACTTTGCATGTATTATTTTTGTATTATTATGTGCTTTGTATTATTTTTATTATAAAATAATAAATTTGTTAAAATTTATTATATCTGCACTTGTTTAGATGCAAAGAAAGACCATCGAACTCGTTAAATACCTTTGACTTTTGATGGGACAGAACTGGAACAAGATGTGAATATTACACAATCTATTCTAGATTTGATCATTTTCAGTGATTATTTCGGGATGCAATAAAATTGCACTTTGTATGGAATAATTAATTTAATTACGTTACTAAATATTTTAGAGATGATGTAAAACTAACCAGAATTGACGCTTCTATATATACTTATCAATACCATCAAAATATTCACTTTTTATAATTTCTAGACGCATCTATTTTATTTATTTTCATCATTAAGTAAGGCTTAGGTCTCCTGAAGAAACTACTTAAAAGAAAATGCATCATTAATAATATCTCATGTGATAAATAATATTTATAATTAGTATTATAAATAATATTTCATGAACGTAAAAAACTATCCACAAATCAAAAGAATATTATAAATTATATTTTATTTTGTTAGATAATTAGAAATTTATTTTCAAATATCAATTATACATACGTATATATTTGTATCTAAGTTCATGTATACTTATATATGTATAAAATATATTTATATCTCGTATATTAATTTATTTTAAATAATTATATTGTCAAATATATATTGTAATTAAGAAACATAGTATTTTATAATAAAAAATAGTAATATATTTTTAAATAAGACTGACACATTAACAAAATTAAGATTGTTGATAATTTAATGATTTTTGTTTAGGATGCATCTTTAAAGTTAAAGTTTGATCCTTTCTTCAAGATCCTCTTGAGATAATAGAATTCTCTACTTAAATTAATTTATATATATTTTCAATTCTTTGTAAAGAAAAGAAATTTTAAGAAATAGTTTGCAGAAAATGCTATTTAAAAACAATGTAATCTTTTTATTATATTAATAATTATATTTTTTATTATAAATTTAATAAAATATTGCGTTATGAGTAGATTTTTAATGCATGATGCTGACCGAAAAAATTATCGACAGGTATGATTTCGGTAAATCATATCGAGTACAGAATATTTTATATACGCGACGCTGCATTCGTCAGCGCATGCGCCTCGATCGATCTCTCCGAGTTCCGAGTTTCTCGAGTAGGTTAGTCCTTTCCGTTTCTTGGTTTCCCTCGTTGGCTTCGTCAAAATATGAGAAAGTGATGGAGAACCGTTCGATATCTAAAAAGAGGAAGGTTAGCTATTTTCAATGTTTACCGTGCACAATGTGTAAAAATATTCTCGTTATCAGAACGTTAGAAGTCTTTAGGACGATATTTTGTCAAAATCAGGCGGTCGCGATAACCGCGATTAGCGGATGCCACGGATTCCGGCGTCGTCTCTCATGTGAATGTTTCGATTCTGCTGTGCTATTTCAAGATTATTTCAATTGTGTATACTTCCGTTAAATTGATTGCGCAAATTTAGTATAGTTTTTTTCATAATTACATGTTTGTCCCGTAATTATGTTTATTAAGAATATAAATTTTATTTTAAGAATATAAATATAAATTAAAAAAAAATTATTTGCATTGCCATGCATTATGCTTAGAAAGTAACTATAAAATTTTTAAAACAGTTATAAATACTTGTATAGATACATGTATAGATACATTAATTATATATTCATTAAAGAATAAAGAATAAAAGATTCTTTTATATATATTTAATTTTTCTATTTATTTCCAGTTCGTTGGCGATGGTGTCTTCAGAGCTGAGCTGAACGAGTTCTTAACTCGTGAGCTCGCCGAAGATGGCTATTCGGGCGTGGAGGTCCGTGTGACACCAAATCGGACCGAAATTATTTTACTGGCTACTCATACGCAGAGCGTACTTGGCGAGAAGGGACGTAGAATCAGAGAGTTGACGTCTGTAGTACAGAAGCGCTTCAACTTCAAAGAGCCCCAGAATGTTGAGTTGTATGCTGAGAAAGTGGCTACGCGTGGTTTGTGTGCTATTGCACAGGCAGAGTCACTTCGATACAAGCTGATTGGAGGTCTTGCTGTGCGAAGGTAAAATGAAATTTCTATATCTTAATCTGTTTATTAATTCTAATTGTATCATTTATAATCTTTAGAAAATATTTTATTATAATCATATAGGGCATGCTATGGTGTTCTGCGTTTCATCATGGAATCTGGTGCAAAAGGTTGCGAAGTCGTTGTCAGTGGTAAATTACGTGGTCAAAGAGCAAAGTCAATGAAGTTTGTTGATGGTCTTATGATTCATTCGGGTGAGCCGACTAATGAATACGTGAACACTGCGACTCGACATGTACTTCTTCGACAAGGTATGATTGTTGTATTAAAATGATGATTGCTTCGATTAATAACTAATAATTTTGTAATTTATTTTTAAATTTAAATTTTGTATGTAATATTTATTTTACATGTAATATTTATATTTTTTAGGCGTGTTGGGAATCAAAGTCAAAATTATGTTGCCTTGGGATCCCAATGGTAAGAGTGGCCCGAAGAAACCTCTTCCTGACTATGTATCAATTGTGGAACCGAAAGAGGAAGTACCACCATCGGTTCCAATTTCTGAGGTGAAGCCATCAAAAGATATACCTCAACCTACACCTCTCGCTGTATAACAATCAATTTAAATGCATTTTTATATGCATCTAAAAAATAAATATAAAAAAATAAGATCTGTGTTGTATCTTCCAGACAATGTCTTTTTGACATCCAAATGTTAAAGCTCGACTCTCTCGCTATAACCATTCTAAATTATGATGTCAGAAACGAGAAATGACATGTAAAAAGTTTCTTACGTCGTATGGCTTCATTTTGTACTTTTCTCTTAAAAATATATTTTCATTCTTAAAACTTGAAAAAAATACCAGAAAGTATCTAACAGATCATGTAAGTGTAAAATAATTCTTGAAATAATGATCATTGCTCAGCTATCAGAAACAACTAGCTCTAGTAATCTGGTGATTTCTGATAGCAGTGTACCATTATTTCAAAAATTATTTTACACTTTTACATGATCTTGGAAAAATACTTTCTAGTAGTTTTTCCAAATTTTAAGAATATGAAAATATATTTTTAAGGGAAAAGTATAAAATGAAGCTATATGATGCAAGAAACTTTTTACATGTCATTTCTCGTTTTTGACATCACATAATCCATATCGTATTGCGAAAGAACCGAGCCTTAAAAGGAATATTTCGTGCCAAGTAAAAGTATCAACTTTAGACATCTTTTTATTTTACTTAAAAAAATTTATTAACCATGTTTCAAGATGTTTGCTACAATATACCGATAATTATTTTCATTTTTATAAAACCATTCTAAATTACTTTTGAACAGATTAATGTTTAAATATCAAGTAGAAGATAGACGAAGTCACACTAGAAGATTAAATTGATGAAACATGACAAGTATTGAACTTATATCCAGAGCTTATATCTGAAAGAGATGACGGGATAACTGTTCCATATAATTTGGAAATATAATTTAACTTACATAATAAATATATGTATATATATATAAAATATACACATCCCCTAATACCGCAAAACCGTGCGAAATCAATCAAAAAGAAAAAATAACCCAGAACACGTAACATTACAAACTGCATTACGTATCATTATCTACTTAATACAAATGGCTCAAAATTACATTTAAAGTCAAATTAGTACATGTGCATAGTTACTCTTGTTCTTAAATATGAAATTTGTTCTGAAAAATAGAATCAAGTCTATTTTTCAGTCAAGTTAATTCACATTACAAATTTTATGTGGTAATAATTAGTGCGAATTATCGCATTCTTATTTAACATTTAGCAATAATTAGCATAACTATTAATAAAAGAAATCATCCACATACTTTGATCGTTTTTTCACAAATATTCAAAATTATATAATACATTCATCATGAATTTTGATGTCGGCACTCATTTTGCGCTAACATTAACTTATGTGTCGCTGAGTGGACCCTAGAACCCTAGGAGATCTGTCTTTAAGAATTGAAAAATTTAATATCGTAAATATTATTGACGCACGGGCGCCATTTGTTGAGTCAGAGAAAGCAAACCCTCGATCATCTTTCGAACGATTTCTGGAACGGCTGGTTTCTTCGACATCGTGCTCAATCCATTTCTGAGCTCATAAAATACATTACGCGTAAATGGATTTCTGTGCGATGCAAGACGCAGTTTCAAAAATTGATAATAGACGAAAGGAGTCAGCAAACCAGCACGTCCTCTATAAAAACGAAAAAGAAAAAGAAATGATATTTAATAAGCTTATACCATATTCTCATTCTAATAGTTGCATGACTCAGGACAATCGTGCATAATACGTACGTGAATACTAAAAGAACTGTAAATGGTAAGATAATGATTTCTGATAGAGCACACAGGCGAAGGATATTCCGTGATTGAAATTCCACCAGAGATATCAAGAGACGAGCACCCCACCAACTGTTCTGTCCTATCAACTAGAGATCATATAAGCTTTAATTTATGTTCTTATAATGACAGTGCAGATACACAAAGTATAATTTTTTTACGTATGCATAATTAGCATTAATCTGTTTACTTACGTCTAACAATATAAGAGAATAGCTAGCCAAATGTATCAGAGCAAAGAGAAAAATTGGTGTAAGCACCACTGTATAAATTAGTTCAGGATTAAATTTTCCTATTATTAAAATGTGAAATATAATAAAAATAAACTACTAAATCGAGCCGTTTTAAATATAGAAAGGATACGTGTGACTGGTGCCGCATATAAAAATATTAAAGAGTAAAATAGGTAGTGGCACGAGTCTTCCATTAGCAACGTTTCCAAGAATTGTCTCGTGAGCTGAACACGAGGTACTCTTTCGTGCAAACGTAATGCACTAGTTGCTGCGTTATTCATTAATATTTTATAATATATGTTGTAGGGGTTTCTGGAAAAAGAAGAAAACAAGATTTAAGATAACTTCAAGAAGGCAGGCAGGCATAATTTAGTTCCAGCTGTAAAATAAAGAAAATGAAAGTACCCAAATATAGGAATTATGTAACCAATGGTGAATATTATGGTGAACAATCTGGTGACCCATGATCCAAATTTAATTTTATTGTCTATAATATGTTGCTTCAAGGCTGGCCATCCCTTTTCAATTTGTGGCGATGAGTCACTGGATCCACTGCTCGCAGTGTCCACCATCCTGAAGCTAAAGAAAGATATCGGTTTATATCGAAATAAAAAAAAAAAAGAGATAGGCCAATTTTCGTTTATATGGAAACTTGTTAATGGTCCGTTCATCGATAAGATATGTTAATTATGTCTCGAGGATAGTTCGTATAATTCGTATGCAAATGAGCGCTGAACTTATGTAGGCCAAGAAAAAAAAACGAAGAAAAAAAACCGCCGTACGTATGAGCGCGATCGCGGCATCGCGCGTTTCTAAAGTGAAAGTGGCCACGCTTTCTGCGGGAGAGCGATTTCTTTTTCGGCCGCGAAAATCACGGTCACCACGCCGCGTCACGCGGCCGAGCCGGACGGGAAAACGTCAGGCGAGCGAGAAAACTCCGATCGTGCCGTGGCGGTTGACGGGTAACAGCATGCGTAAGCAGGTTTTTTTTTCCTTTACTACGCAGTGCGCGATCGACACGCAAGCTCGCAAGTCACCCGTCGTTACACCGAATGACACCACCGTCGTGCCCGATCCGCGAGAATCAGGCGCAGGCGGAGAAACCGCGTTGTCGGACACGCGAGCGCGACACTTACGCACTGGCTCGTTCCTCACGACGATGCACACAGGATGTTCCGGAGCGTGTGATACCACGTCAATGGACAGCGGTAAACAATTGCGCGGGTCCACCTATTCGGGACATCTACGTGTCTCGCGTGCCGAGGGGGTCCGGAGGAGCCACTCACGAATATTGGCTGAATCGCTCGGCTCCCGTGGCCGCAGATTCCGTTCGCAGATGTCGCGTGAAGTTCGCGACGTGGCGCTACCTCGTGAGCGAAACGCGCGCGACTCGCGATCGGATCTCCTCGATTAACTTAATCGCCGATCAGTTGGCGGACTCGCTGGTGTGTTTCGTGGAGTAATTTACAGAACTCTTTTTTTTCTCAGGTACATGTTGAATAACAAAATATGAATAATTCTATCTGCAATCAATGAGATCAATGATCTCTTGACGCTTGATAGTTAATCAACGATTGATGTTAATTGCAGGTTAGATTTAATCTTGATTTAATTCTGTCTTCTTCTAATTCTTAAAATTAAAAAAAGATAGGAAGTCAAATCGCGAGATTAAAGTTAATTTACATCGAAACGCACGTAAATTAATCGAAATGTGATCGAAGTTAATCTTGAGATGAACGACTTAAATTCAATCGGGAATTATTTAAAATAAAATTTTCTACTGTATAATTTCATTGTTTGTAATTTAATCTTTTTTTATATATATATTAAAGAAATAATTCTTATGTTAACGAAACTTAATTATTAATTAAAGCTGCATTTTGTTTGTTAGAATTATTTCATCTTTATTGTTCGAATACTAGACAAGGATAAGTGATGCAAACATTTAATGAAATGCAAAATTAATTGAAGTTCGATTGACATTGGTCGGAGTTATCTTCTGAAAGAAACCATGGAGGAAGAAGACGACGAAAAGATTTCGGTCATTCTGGCTAAAAAAAAGATGAGAAAATCTCTCACATATCTTTAAATCGGATCTTCGTTAGATTACTGTTGGATTTAAAACGCATTAAAAATTCGGAAAAAAAAACAACACTTGATGAAAGTTGAAAAACGTATAAAAAGAGTGATGAATAAAATGTTCTATTTCTATCTATCGACGCCTCAGCACAGCTGATCATCAGAGAAATTCACTCTAATTTCTCCGTCCAAATTCGCAGCGCCAATGCTCATGCGCCAATTGCATCAGCTGTTACATTACCCGTTATCAGCAAGTCCGAGTATTTTATTTTCTACATTAAAAAGAGCAAGGCATCCAAGCTTAAATAACGCAGGTAGGATGAACTGGCTTAGTATCTGTTAATCATTAGAATGTATCTCGTTGTCCTCGCGCAAGACTAACTTGTTTGGTAAATTCACGAATTTGAAATCGTAAATTCTACGTATTCTAAATGTTTAAATAGATATCTTATATTGTAGTTGAATAGATATCTGGCATATATCTATGACATTCTGAAGTAAAACAAGTGGCGCAATTTAAAAAATGAATTGAAATCCACACGTATTATGTAAAGATGTAATTTTTCAAGTTGAAATTTAAAAAAAAAATGTTAAAAAGAACATCTTGTGCGTGTAAATAAATATATAAATATGAAGAAATGATTAACTGCCGAATAAATTATTTATTTCTTTCTATCAAATAGTGCAATATACACTATTGCCATTTATAATATATTAGCGTTTCAATTAGTTTTTTTCCGCGAATAATTCTTCAATTTGATAAGAAAACATAATTTGATAAGAAAACATAATGAAAGAATGATTCTAAAAACACATTCTTTCTTTTAATGAAAATTTTTATTTGAAAAAGAGATACGTCGTGATATTAACGTTGTGAAAAAATTAAATCATCAAGCAATTAATTATTCCCATAAAAAAGATAAATAAATGATACGAATTAATATAATAATTTATATCATAATTCTTAATAAATTAAGAAATAAAATTTCCCTCTCCCAAAAAATTCAGAAATTCCTCAGATATTAATAATTGAAGAAAAAGTAGAAGATGTAATAAATTAAAATCTAGGATAGTAAATCAACTTACTTATCAAACTAGGATACTTTATCAAACTAGAAATACATTATAAAATTAAAAAAAAAAAGATTTAAATGCAGCAAGAAATTTATTAAAGCGTCGTTTTATGTATTCATGGGTTTTTTCTGAACATTGTATTAAATATTTTCTGAACTGTGTAACATTTAAAATTTTAAATTTTAAATTTTAAATACAGATATTTAAATAATAATAGTTCAAAAATATGATGATATATATATTTTTCTCATATAGAATGAATTTCCAATTCTTGATATTTCTGGTATTCTTGGTATTTCTGAGAATTATAACAAAAATATCATTGTCACTCATATATATTACTAGTAGGTTATTTGACTAGTAGGTTATTTGATTTTTAAAAATTATTAAAATAAAAAAATGTAAAATTAAAAGAAGTGAGGAAAAGATGAAAAAAACGTCTTATAAAAAAAAGATTTAAAAACATCTAAAATAACATCATATAAGAAAGATTTTTATTTTATTATTATTTAAATTGATTTGATTATTAATAGAATATCTATAAATAAATATTATAAGGAGATTTTTTAAAACACATCGTAAAATAACTTTTATAAAATCTATAATCTTTTGCAAATGTCAAAAGTTATTTTAAGAGGTGATTTAAAAAATCTCTTTATAATTATTTATTTATATATAATTATATATATATGTGTATATTTATATATATATATATATATATATCGATTCTGAATTCGAATTGTTTCCACTATGTTATAAATATAAAAAAATTACATACAATTGTAAAGTTTTAAAACATTTATTTATTCTGTTAATCTCTTAATGATCCGTATTTTAAACTATTCTATAAATCAAGTGATGATATAATCTTAGAAATAAGACTAAAATAATAAAATAAATATCCAATATAAAGTCAAAATGTTTTTAATAACAAATATTCTCGAAAGTTGAAATTTGAATGAAAACAGAAAGACAGATAGCAATCTTACAGAAAAGTTTAAATCTATACAATTTATCATTGTCAAATTTATAATAGTATATTAAAATACAGGAAAAAACAAAGTTAAATTTTATTCCGCAAAATTTTTCTTTTCCTTTTATGTTTTCAAATTTTGTTTCTGAACTTATCAATAATTTATTATGCATAAGATAACTTGGATATTTTTTTTTTATGTATCACATTGCTCTATTTTAACTTTCATGAATTATATATTTATTCTATTGTTGCATATTAATAATTACACAATGTATAAGAAATAATAAGTAATTTTAAACGATTAGTTTAAAAAAATTTTACATTATCGTTGTGTTTTTGCAACGCAATAGGACGCAGTAAAATGATAAATTGAGTAATTTTGAATAAACTTATAAATATGATTTATAAATTATTCAAATTTTTGCTTGCTTTATTAATGTAATAACAAAAATATGGATTTAAAGAAAAATAAATAACTTTCAATAAGAAGCATATCAACTCTCACATCTTTCATATCTTTCATATCTTCATATTTTTACAAGGCATCGTAAATTAATTAGCATTTTATTTTTCCAGAAATAATGGTTTGAAATCTTTTATTGTCACATATGTATATAAGAAATTGTAAAAGAATTATGACGGAATTATCTGATGTCAAACGATGGGAATTATTATCAAGTTATCCTTCATGTCGTGAGTTTGTGGGAAATTGAGAAAGGATCTGATTTCCATTTACTAAGCTAAAATAAACCATTTAAAAAGATGTAAGTTGTAATATCTAATGAAAGATAAAATTGAATGAACATAAGTGAATATGAAATTTGCAGATACCTTTAAATAATAATATTGTACTTCTTCGAGAATTATTTAGGTATTCATATTATTTATTCAGGTATTCATATTATTTACATTTATTATACACAGATGAAGACTGAAGGTTTCTCACCTAAAGCACATGAGTTGTAGAGAGGGGACAAGTATTATTTCTCAAAAGACGTCTTTTCTTACATATAACATGCACACGAACGATTGTACGCATAACGGTTGATGTAGCTGGAAAGTACGGATGTAGAGCGAGACGTGACGCGTAACGGTGATCAGTCCGATTGAAGAGGAGTTCCTTATGGACGTAAACTTGGTAGCACGCTGGATTTTGTTTTACTTCTGAACATTCGTATCGGAATAAATTATTAAATTTATTATTATCAGCTGAGACTCCATGTGAAAATGTTACTCGAAGCGATAGTGGTTTGTGTTCTTATTATACTCATTACCACCGCCTATTTTCACAAATCGTGCTGGTATTGCCAGTTGCAATATTATTACATCGGGTTAGTGTATCATCTTCATGATATATTCAACATCAAGAATAATAAGATAAGTAAGAAAAAAGAAATATAGATCTGCATTATATATACATATGTTATGTAATTTGAAGAGCATTATATTTCTTATGTCAACTGTCTAGAAATAAATGAAAGTACAACAATGAATATAATTATAACAACAAAACTATAACTTTTGTGCTCTTGTTACGAAAAGTATTTTAAAATAAAATTAAGATTTCTTATAAATTAATAACAATAACATTTAATTATTTGACATACTTTCTCAAAAGTTGCTTTATAGGAAATGATTAATCAAGGGAAATTATTGGTATTATATAATTGATGCAATTTTCTTTAATACATATGCTTTTTTTCTCAGATTTAGTTTCAATGCCGGATAAAATTGCAATTGTAACTGGCGGTTCTAGAGGTATAGGAGTGGAAGTAGTCAAGAAATTGTTACAATGTGATATGGAAGTTATAGTCGGTAAATATTACATATTATTTTTCTTTTATTTATTTATTTATTAATTGTAATTTTATTCACAGTGTTAGCTTAAAAAATATTAATTTGGAAGTATAATTAGCTTGTAGGACACCTTCCGCGGGTGAAAAGATTATTTCTGAAATTAGGAAATCTGGTATTACTAATGGACGAGCAAAGATTTATAAAATTGATAATTCTTCTTTTGACTCGGTTAGGCAATTTGCTGAGCAAATAAAAAGGAATTATAATAAAATTCACATATTAATCAACAATGGTACGGTTAATCAGTTAAATAAATTTTAATACATAAAACATTTTGATTTTATTTTTGTGCAGAAAGAAACCCATGTAACATATTCATTTTCTTTCAGCTGCTATTATGTTTCCTTCTGTTTATCAGAAGACAGAAGATGGTTATGAAGAACAATGGGCGATAAATTATTTGTCACATTTTTTACTAACATCTCTCCTTCTGCCATTATTGAAAAACGGTGGACATCCTAACGATTGCAGTAGAATTATTAATGTCACCTCATGCGCCCATGATGTCGGCAAAATAGATTTTGACTACATTAGTAACAATTCCAAGTAAAGAAAGAAATATATTGTTAAATTATTTCTCTTTATTTATTTTCAATTATTGACTTACAATTATTTTTTTTTTTTGCTAACGTATTATTATTTTTTCTGAAATTCCATCTATTTATTATACCAGGAAAACATTTTGCACTTATTCATCATATGGACAAAGTAAATTAGCACAGACTATGTCCACGATAACAATGCAAAGACTTTTTGCAAATATGTCATTGAATGTGCTGGTGTATTCCGTACATCCAGGTATAGTGAAAACGGATCTATTCAAAGAGACTATACTGGGAAATAAAAAGTGGGCTATGGCTGCATGGAAGGTAATAATATGTTATAATTTCTAAACTGAAACTAATTACTATTATTGTCAATGATTTTACTATTATGCATCCGTTATAGACATCTGATCAAGGAGCTACTTCAATAATATATGCTGCAATAAATAAAGATATTGAAAAAAAAGGTGGGATATTTATTAGTAATTGTATAGAATTAACTGTTCCTTTGTTAGCGCATGACGAAAGAGTCCAAAAACGATTGTTTGAACTGTCTTTGGAACAAGTACAGTTAAAAGATTTTTTCCAATATTTGTAACGAAAATATATAACATCACTTATTCGATATTCTAATAAATGATCTGTTCATCAAAGTCAAATATATTATGTACTCGCTAAACTTATATTTAACATTTATTACTAAAAGTTAACATTTATTTTTATATTTAAAAAGATTATGCGATCTATTCTAATTCTAATCGCGAGAAGGATAAAATGTAGCCGACTTATGTAGACTTAAACATAATCGAATATGTATGAAATTCGACAAAGATAACAGATGATAAACTTTGAGAAGAAAATTCTTTTACCTAAGTCATTTTTTCTGGTATAATATAAATGTACATAACAAAACAAGCTATTCATATGAATACATGAGAAACATTCAAATCAGGTTCCTATTCTTTGTCATTGTAGTAGAAATAAAAATATCTTTATTGTTGTTATTGTTATTGTTTAATATATTTTGTTGGATGTATTTTACACAAAAATCATCTTACACTAAATCTGTTTTTAAAAAATATTAATATTCGCAATCATTATCATTGTTGATAATGCCAATTGTTTTTTTAATTTATAATTACAATCATAAACTATTATCACGGAATTATATTTGCACAATTTGGCAACCATTAAGAATTAATAATTTTTTATTCATAAAAATTAATTTTAGAAATAATACATTATGTTTTTTCTTTCATGTAATTTTTATTTCACATTACGCATGTCTTATTTAAAATGATCTAAAAAAATAGAAGAATTATGTTTGAAAATTTGAAGTATTTTAGAAATAAAAAATATATATGAGTAACATTAAAACTTCAAACATTAAAACTTCCGATTTTATTGTTAATTTTTATTGTAATCTATGCGAAAATTACATAGCTATTACAAGCTAAAACTGTAATTATTGAATAAAAATGTTATCTGCAAAAACTTAATGAAGCAATTAATATGCGCACGTGTATAAGCGTAATTACAATGAATTATATCAACTTTACTCGATGTAATGTTGAATCTTCAATTGATAATTTTAGTATTGCAACATGAACATTTTTTTGTGTTATATTAATATATTTTATTTTAATTAATCTTCACATAATAATATGTGCAAGTGAAATACTTTATTTAATATTCTACATATTGGTATGATTATGTATTTAGTGCACGTATTTCTACTAATGATGTATAAAAATATGGAAACTTGAAATGTCCTATAAGTATAAAAAATGTATGAAAGTTTATGAAATTGTAATATTTATTATAAATCTTATAAATTAACGACAAATTTTAAACGATTTTTTAATATAATGAATAATGCATCAAACTATTATATAATTTGTTAATATTAGCAAAATCTATCAAAAATCAGAATAAATGGCACGTGCATAATGTGCACATTCTTGTATTCTAATCTATGTATAATTTTTTAATAACATAATTTTTCTAATATATTCTAATATATTCTATATTAAAATAAATGATGTATATTTTTTGACTAATATAATTTTTATTACAAGTTATGATTTATGCACTGTTAATAATGTACATTATATAATTATAACAAAACGCTTTTACAACATAAAATCTTTGGAGTAACTTCAAACTAAACAATTTGTATAAACTTAACTGTTATTAAAGATAGTTGCAGGTATCGATGAAAGTAAAATATATTAATTTTTATGTAACTTATAAATATTGTTATACATTTTTCTAAAATTTATAAATTTTAATGAGTATTAAAAGATGAAGAGATGAAGAGAAATTTGGGACGCAATTGTAAATTTTAAATTAATCTTATTGCGAAGAAGATAAATATCTGTCTTGATAAAAAAATCTTATAAAAGAGAAAGTAATCTATAACGACAATTGATACTAATATAAACTATAAGTTATTTTCAAAATTAGAAAGTTCCAGTCAACAAGAAATTTATAACAATATACATATTGTTTACAACAGTTATGTATATTAGTATATATAAAGTATAAAAGAAGTGTGAAAAAGACTAGATTCTTAATTATACGAGATATATATAGAATAATTAATAGTCAACCATCACGTTTATAAGATTCAAAAATTATAAACATAAAGTAAATGTAACAAATATCTGATCATAAAATGCTAGTAGATATTTTACAATATCATATATATTCTGTTATCACTTTTTTCTAGATTGCATAATAAATAAATTGTTAAAATAAAAAATTACTCTTGTTGATTACGATATGGATTTATAATGTCATTTATGCTTGAATTTTAACATGCTATTACGAGCATATAATGAGCTGCATTCTTGAAAATAGCGCGATAAACACATATAAATATTGCACGTTAGAAATAACTTTATACATCATAGGCTTGTGGCGTGTTGTAAAAATCTTATTATTACTAATAAGATTTTGGACAGTTTACCAAAATCCATTGTGATAATAACTATTTGTACTTTCGAAGTAACAAAAGAAAAATACTATGATTATGTTAAATACGTTTCCATTGCGTATGGAAGTAAATAATTAAACAATTTAACATCAAGCGATATTACTTCAATTAAATAAAATGTGATAATAGAGCGTAAATTTGCGCTATATAATATCTATAAAAATTTAATATCCTATATAAGCTTAATGACATATTTAAATATTAGATACATCTTACAACATAGTATAAAGCAACATAGTATATAATATCATAACACTAAACAATAACACTGCATATCAAAGATATATATGTACTAGATGTTTCCTAAATTATCAAATAGTGACGCTTGATTTCAATCACCGTGTCTATAAAAAAAGATGTAATATAACATTACAAAAATTACTTAAGAGAGCCTGCTACAACCGCAATTATTACTATCACCGATTGACGTCGTTTTACCGTTTATCGAAGTTGTATTCGTTTCATACCGAGGTAATTCCTTACTGCGTGCTTGCTAAAATAATATATGAGCACTGCAAAATGTTCTAAACGAAATAATTTCAGATAAAAAATACGCTCGTTTTTTACCTCCATGAGTTCAGCTGCTATTTCCATAAATAATCTTTCTACATTTTCCGCCTCTTTGGCGGACGTTTCTAAGAAGTACATGCCATGTCTTTGTGCAAAATCTTCACCCACATGCGTCGGTATCTCTCTGTCTTCTCGATCAATTTTATTTCCTAATTAACACAGAATTGTATGATTTTATTCAAGAAATCTTCTCACGCTAGTTTATAATCTTTATATATATTCACTTACCTACTAATATCCTAAGAACTTTATTACTTGCATATTCTTCGATTTCCCTCAACCAATCTGGCAAACAATCGAATGTAGGTTGACAAGAAATATCATAAACTAATATTAATGCATGTGCTGATCTATAATAACTTTGAGTAATGGAACGAAATCTTTCCTGACCCGCAGTATCCCAAATCTGCAACTGAAATGAAAGACAGCAATGTAATTTAAATACACATAATCAATACACATATGACACTGATTAAACACTGATTAAACTATACCTTGACTTTCTCATTTTCTACTTCGACAGTTTTAATCATAAAATCAACTCCAATTGTTGCACCTTGCCCAGGTGGAAATAAACCCTGCAATTTGAAATCATCGGTAAATAATACATACATACACACATATATCTGTTTATCATCTCCAATAATAATATATTTATGTAACCAGGTGCAATTCGTCATCACTTTATAGTCAATTTACATACACGTCATCTTTTATAATTTATTGCTCAGCATTCTATTATAAGAAATTATGATTTTACTTTGAAGAAACTTTTTTTCAGTGAAAATAAATTTTAAAACATTTCAAAAACAAGGCCATAACATCGATTAAAGTTACGACACGTCAAACGATCTCGCAGGCAAACAAATTAGCTACAAATGTTCCACATATATAGAAATGACATCATCTCCAGGATGCATAAATAACGAACTTTCCACCCTTCCGAGGAACGCGTTCGCGCGTGAACTCGGCTTTCTCTTCGAGCTTTCCTCGCGGAGTTTTTCGCAATCCACGGCGGGAAGGAAAGAGGAGGAGGAGGGAAGAAGGGGATCGACCGGAGAAACGTCACGCCGACGCACCTGAGTGAACCGTCGCACCAGGCAGGTCTTGCCCACACCGGCGTTCCCCACGAGCACGACCTTGAAGAGAAACTTGTAGTCTTCCATGTTCGCGGGCCACTGTCCGGCACCAGGAGGCGGAGGTCCACGGCGGGTCTCCGCGCTCGCGAGTCTCCCGCTCAACAGGGACGGATGCGCATCGGGCGACGGGGGCACACTCCCGACACCGCGACACCGTCGACTTTCCGCAAGCGTTCACCTCGGCAGCGGAGCGAGCCGCGCGAATATCACTCACGCACGCACGCACGCACGCATGCACGCATGCACGCACGCAGGCACGCACACAGACGGATGACCCCGCGCGCGCTCACTTCGGTTTCGCGCTGAGCGAGGAAGAGAGAAAGAAAGAGAAAGAAGAGAAAAACCGACGGCGACTACCTCGGCATCGCCGTCGTTATACGCGATCTCACTCGGATCTCACGTCTTCCTCGTACGCGACCGACGACATTGTTGTTGGTTATGTATATAGGCACCGACGAGGTACTGTTAAAGACGGTCAGCCATGGGTAAATTTTCGTGACTGCTAAACGGATCCGGGGATAATTGAAGAATATTGATATTACCGACCGTCGAAATTACCCTTCCCCCCGTACACTAGCACCACCAAGTTCCATTTTAGTATATTAGTTTTAAATAGCCACTTCCATTTACGTTCGCGTACGTTTTTTATATATTGTCGAATTTTATTTATTGTAGAAGTATTGACGAACATTAATATTAGTATATACATTTATCACATGTTCATATACATATACAATAAAAACAATGTATGATAAATATTTTCTTATTATATAAAATAATTAAATCCTTCATAATTATATCCTATACACAGCACAAAGCTCAGATTAGCTCCTAACGAATTTAAATTTCTGAGCTCTTAAAGAGGAGCTTATAAAATTAGGAGCTTATAAAATAAAGCTCGCAAAAAGTTCATTTCGCTTAGCTAAAATATCTGTAAGATTTTTATATAAATATTATAATAATATAAAATATTATAATAATATAATATAATATTATAAAATATTTAAGAATAAAAATTAAGTTGAAATTTAAAAATAACTTAATTCGGCATTTTTCATCATATCGAATTAATTCACTTCACCGGCACTTCACTTTTCTAGCGTTTCCTTCGCTATTACTTAGACAATGTCAAACTTTTCAGCGTGCCTTCGCTAGTTCGCTGTATTCATTGAAGATTGATGGATAGGAGATAAAAGATAACTTTGCCTGCCATGAAAAAGCAGCTTTATTTACAATAGCAATAACAAAGTCTACTGTATTTATATAAATGAGTCATTTTTACATATAGAGATTTAACTCTAATCTAATTTTATATTAAAATATAATTCAAATTTTCACAGCTGATGTTCTATCAAAACATGATTCGTCGAAATGTTGCGACTCTATAAACAATTCGGAACAATTTCTTTATATCGGAAATGTGTCATTATTTTTATGAGGATTTAAAATGCAGCAATAATAAACAATAAACCTAAAGCTTATTCCTAAACATAAATCAATTTGTATTTCTTAATAGTGATGTATGCAAGTGATTTGGATCCATGAGGTTGAAAAATTCTGATCTGCGGCATAACGAAGGTAAGTTATGCAAGGGGATGCAATGCAAATGCAAATTGGAATAATCAATTGAATAACACGACTCCGAATCAATTTTCCTTTTGCAACATGCTATTATCGGTAATTCATAAATCTCTTCCTCTTCGTTATTTGATGATACTTTGAAGAGTTTTATATCATAGCATATATTTAATAAGTACATGTTCTTTATAAACTCATGTGTGCGCGATGTCTTGTAATAATCCAAATCGTTCATTGGTATATATTTGAAACCAACGTGACTACAATCTTGCATGTTGCATGCAACATTTAAAACTTTTTCCTGTGTATCTGCAAAAAGAAATATAATATAATACATAGTAAATTTTAAATTCCATTTACACTCATATAATGCATAAATTGTAATATTTACTTAAATGACACCACCCATTGTCAAATGTGAGTATCGGGGGTTTTTTTGGAATCTGAAATTCATAGATAAATCGAGAGGAAGAGCAAATTCTCGGGAAATTTAAAAATTGCCAGTTGCTTGGTACAGATGAATAAATACAAATGTAAGAACCAATGTTATTTTTTCTAAAAGGTATAAGTTTCTATTTATAACAAAATGTTTAGTATTAGTTTCCCAAATACGTGAAAACTCATCTACTATCCATGTATCTGTACATTGATAAAACAAAAAATAAGAATTAATATAACAAAATAATGTGTGTTCTTATAATAAATATATAATGTTCTTCTTTTTTTATAAATATATTCACGAAAAAAGATAAATATAAAAAATAATATAATTACAAAAAGTAATTCGATATAATTCGTATCTGAAAAATTATACATAATAATCTTCGTTACGGATATTACGTATATTCAAATCATTGAAGACTTTCACATATAATACTACATATATTTTTTATTTAACTTAAAGTTAAATGCCATTTAAAAAATTAAATAATAAAACAAAAGAGGTAAGGAAAGTCAAGCTAGTGTCTTTAATATACTAATATAATATTATATATTACATATATGTTGTATTAAAATTACCTGCATGTACGTCATAAATATCAATACGATTAACTTTTCTTCCATGATGTCCTATACCAGCCAGAATTATTAATTTATTTTTGATAAATACAGCGATCATATCTCTTCTTGCAATTGGCATTCTAAAATATTAACGAAAGTTGTTTTAAGAGATGACTTCTTTTAGTAAATCTATCTATTTATAATTACACCCATCTTGTATCTGTTTAATTATTAGAATTCTTACACTGTCTGAAAATACCATTTCTTTGAAATCAAAGAATATCGCCATACTTTTTTATTATAATTTTGGTTACAAGTATGTTGTCCTCCAAGAAGATACAAATTATATCCTAAAAAATTATATAAAATAATAAATGAATAAGATAGACAAAACAAGATAAAATAAAAAATAGCATACCTCTTGCAACAATTATCTCTCCTTGTAACGCGCTGTGACTGCAATTGCAATGTTTGCTAATATCCTTAGGATATTTGAAGGAGGTAAATTTAAAGAATTCTTTACCATCCCAACAATAAATAAAAAAATCACTGTTAACATCGGCGTTGTCAAACATTATAATAGCCTGTAAAATGGATTTTTTGCTATTTTCCAAAAATTCTTCATCTATCAATTTCCACTCATTATAAATTGTATCATCCTATTAAAAATGATTTTTTATTATAGAGAGAAAATTGTATAACACGTCAGGCTGCCTCTCCATGCAGCGTAACTTGCGTAAGTGTAAATCACGTCAATCAATCAAATCATCTAATAAGAGTTTAGACGGATTTGTGTAGAGTAGCTGAGACGATTTGATTGGATGACACAGGTTACGCTTACGCAAGTTACGCCACATAGAAAACCAGCCATTCTGTATGTAATAAAATCTAATAGAATATTAAGAAAACACAACAAATATACCGAATATATGTTTTGAAATTAGAAACATATTTTAAGAAAATTTTTAAAACTTATGTTATTTGTAAAATATCATTATAAATATATATAGTTATTAAAATATTACTCTCATAATTATTTTCTTACCAGATTAATTTGGACCCAATGGTTAATAATTTCACTTAAATACTGGTCTGAACATCTTAAGTTAATGTTACAGATGAATTTTAAAAAATCCTTTTTTTGCAATTTACAAAGTGAATCACGAGGTAGCTCCATAAAACGATCTAAACTAACTGAGAAAGAAAGATCTTGTAGAATTTGAATTCCTAATTCGTTAGCATGTAACCAAATGTCAAGTAAATATTCTGGTTTCATATATCGTTGTTCAAAAATATCTGTTATATCTTCTATCAGTTTATCTGTTGCAAATAAAACGCTTATTTCCAATAAGTCGAACAAATTATTAAACTCTTCAGGATTAG